TACATTCAGTTTGAATGTCTCCTGTTTCAGCTTATGCCTGTTGTCTCTTAAAAACGCGTGTGTTCACCTGCATCAATGAAAAAGTCACGGAAATCTGGGAAGAAATAAAAACGTATGGGAGTTCCCATGCTATTCAAGTCTCCAAGTGCTTAACTATAGCACTTCTAGGCACTATGATAATTCCAAAGAAGGAAGACCTGCAAGGGGCTGGTCTGAATGACATCAAATGCCCCTACATGACTACTATGTTGTATGAGTGGACTTTGGTGACACTTCCAGTTCAAAGCGGAGTACCCACCAGGAAGTCACATAACCTGCCAAAGTCCCGGACTCATGAGAAGATCAGTCCATCCCTGCAGAGATATGCACTTCGGGGCATGCAGGTGTACTGGCCATCACAGCTCCTGGCTGGGGCTTGCTGGCATTCCCCTGGCTCAAAGCACACGGGAGCAAGCACACACCACAGTACCAACCAAACCACTGCCATTTCTGTGTTACTGATAAATGCAGCTGCTGACTTTAACCAGAGAGCATTGAAATCCTAGATTTGGTTGATAGAATGGCGGGGGAGAGAGTGTTACTGGAAGGCAATCTTTTTCATGATATATAAATCATGAAGCAGATCTTCCTCATCTTCCACATCTTGCCTCTAGTCCGAAGCTACCTGCTGGTACGGGAACTACGTGTGTACATGCATGTGTGCATCTGAGAGGCAGAGACACATAGAGTGAGAGCACATGCAGGACTTGTCCATAAAGGAAAACTAAAATAGCCTTAAATACACTCAAATACCACTTGAGCAATGGCCAGCAACCCTTCCTGTTGCCCAAACTTCTCCTTTCTACTTAGCTTGCATTTTTGGAGACTGCTCCCTGGCTGCCTTACAGCTCTGAGTGGGAAGGACTCCTTTGCATCCCCATCCTTAGAGGACATGATTGCCAGGTGCATCCTTAGGAGAAACCAAGTTGAATTTTTTAGTCTGGTTAGGGGGGGGGGAAGATATGTCCCAAATGAAAGCATAGTGTAATACTTCAGTATCTCTGATTAACCCACTTGCTTAGCTATCCTGTGAGTTCACCTTCATTTTGGTCCTTCAGGGTTCACGTGTGGAGCACTAAGTGTGGTGTAACCCACTGAGAGGATGCCACATGAGCTGGGGCCAGCGGTGGTACCTACCGGCAGCAGGTGACAATCAGTGCTATGCCCATGATGAGCAGAAGTCCTCCTCCTGCAGCCGCGATCACCACGGTGATGAGCTGATACGCTACAGATGGGAAAGACAGAGACTCACTTAGAAGCCGCGATGTGGTTGTAAACACTAATGTAAACACATCTGCAGTCCTCACGTAAAGGGATTAACTGCTTATTTCCCATTTCTCTGCCCTCCCTGTGAGCAATATTGCCTTAAATTTTCAAGTTAAATGGATGGAGTTGGGGATCTCTTGCTGAAGGAAGAACAAGCTCTTATTCCCCTTAGGGGCAGATTCCCTTCACTGATCGATCAGAATAATTCAAATGATAATTCATGGATTCACCTCTGAATATCTTGATTCAAGAATGCCCACTATATGTGCTATTATGACAGAGCATCCAGAGAAAGGAGATCTCCTTTCCTTAGGAGATAATATTACGTCAACTTTGTCAAAGAAGGTCAACAAAATAATTTTCAACAGAAAATGAAGAAACAAAAACCACTGACAAGAGTAGCATGTACCTACTGCATTTTAGACATAGTCATTTGCAATTACTTGTTTCAGATTTCCCATTTCTGACACTGCGGAAATTAAAAGAAACAAAACCTGGCACTTACGGTTTCCACAGTTGAATCCACCTAAGCCAAATGGGCAGCTGGTAACAGAAAACAACAGGGAGTTTGTTGTTAGTCGTGCCAACAGGCCACCAAAACTCTATTTAAGAATGATGGTGGGGTAGAAGGAGGGCAGAACAGTCACCATACCTCACACAGGTCTCATTTTCCAGCTTGTATCCATCTTCGCAGGCTAAAAACACAGAAGAGAGACGGGCCGTGAGCACCGCGTAGTGGTGCAGGGGAGGCGTTTCCCACCGCCGCTTCCCAGGGCAGCCTCACCCCAACAGCCCTGGGCACCGACAGGCCAGTCCACGCTGCTGGCGCAGCAGGAACGTGGTGCAGGATCTCCTCTGGTGTAGGCAAAACACCATGCACTTAAATTCATCTCCCACTGCTGGGACCATTTCATGGCTTCCCAGCAGAGCTAGCTTGGAACCTGGCACAGGGTAGGCAGCTGGCAACGTAATTCCCAGCAGAACCTCTTCTTGCCCAAATGCAAGCTCACTGCACACTTGTATTCCTTCCCACAAAAAAGCAGTGTGAGAAATCTGCAAGTGTCTACAGTTTTTGTTTTGAAAACTCATTTGAACAGTGCTACTTTAGCATTGATGGATGTTAGCAATTACCTTTAAATGTAGTATTGCAACAAAATGTTATGCAAACGCAGTCAGGGTAGTCCAAAGTGGTATGTTATGTTTTGCCTTATGTCACCTTTATTTCTTGTCTTTCAAATTTGGAGCTAAATCAAATTTTAAAATATCATACTTTAATATAGAATAGAAATTAAATTTACTAGGTCTAAATAACCCGGAAAACTGCTACGTACAAAGTGTTGGTGAAAAACTGAAACCATCGTTTCAAAATAAAATAATTTCTGTGCTTATGGACAGCTATTTTATCACCTGAATTATTTGAGAAAATTATACTACCCTTCCGGTGAACAGCAAAGGTAATGATACATTGGACATACAATTATAAGCTTCAAATCACTGCTAAGATCACTGCTTTTCTGAGCAACAGTCCCACCAGAGCTCCTGCAGATCTGCTGCCTTTCGCAGAGGCAGCGAAGGTGGTCGCTCAAAGACCTGAGTAGGAGTGACACGGATGGAGTCGCTTTGGGCAGAGGGACAAGCCAGGGCCAGCACATGCAGCAGCCCTTGGGGGTCTGCAAGACGTCACCCAAGGGTCTGCAAAACCCCTGCAGCACACTCCGCAGAGAATAAAACTAGATTGTTAATTGAAAACAAAAATGCTCATAGATTTTTTTTTCCCCCCTCAACACCATATGCTTAAAAATGGTTAGGCAGCAGCTCTCAAGCCCTCTTCCTTCTGCCTTGCTCTCTAGCCATAGGAATAACCTGCAGCCGAAGGCTTGGGCACTCTCTAACCTCAGCAAGTGCGAGGAAATCTGTGGGGCGAGGAGGGGGCTTCCCAGCAGAGGTCCCAGCTAAGCTGCAGCAAAGCCCTCACCTCCTTCGCTGCTCCCGGCACGCCAGATGCCTTTTCTCCTCTGGCACAGCCAGCAACTGTATTTTCAGAAACACTTAGCACAGGAAGGGAGGAAGGAGGAAAAGAAGGACAAATGTGTAACGTTGTCCATTAGGATGAGCTGGCAGTATGACAGTAAACCAAGAGAAAGCACTAGTATTCTGGTTGGATTCAGAAGTTTATGGCTCTTCCAGCATCAACAACAAGTGATATTGATGCCAGCAGGGAGCAATGTGACTGTGACCTCCCCCTCGTAATACAGATCACAGAACTTCCCTAAGCTTAATTCCAGTTTCAAATCAAATAGTTGAACTGGAGCTACATTTTAGAGAACCATCCAAGATTGATCTTCATATTTTCAGTGACGGACAATAAACCACAACCCTGGGTCAGATGCTCATAAAGTTAATTTCCTCAGCCATTAAAAACATTCACCTTCTTTCTGGTCTGAATTATCCCAGTGTCAAATTCCAGCCTTTGGATGTTCACTTGCTAGATTGGAAAAAGTTATATGATCACATTTCTCCTCATCATCAAATCACTCCTTTGCCTTTAATAAAGCCAAGTGCACTGAGATCTTTGAGTGTCCCTGGTTATTGCAGCTTTTCTCTGAATGCTCACAGGTTCTCTTTGACCCTTTCAATTTCTGATTCCCAGAAATAGATGTCGCAAGCCCAGAAATAACAAAACTTCCCCTCTTCTGCCTGCCTGTCCCCTCTAAATGCACCCAGGGACCATATTAGCCTTACAAGCCAGAGCTGGGGACCTCTTCTTTACCTGCCAGGACCCCTTCGCAGCTCTGCCCAAGTCTGCTTTCCAGGAGATGCAGCCCACAGTGTGCCGGCACCCTGCTCTTGGATGGCTGGCCTTGTCTGCGGTCATATTGAAATACTGCTTGCCTGTATACCATTTACTAAGCATCTCATGTCACTCATCACGCCATTTGCCCTGCGGGCTGTGTGGACGTAGATGAGAGATGCACTCACATCACGAATATTGCAGCTCTAGACACAGACTTGCCATAGCAACTGGCATCAATGATGACGGGGGGCTGATGTCCACCACAGCTGGTCTTACACCCCTTTCTCTGCCCTATATAGTCCCAGTACTCTTCCACTACCTCTTTCACTCCATTTATTCCCCCAGAGCTGGGGATGGGAAGGATGAGGTGGTTTACATAGCCCTCCTGCTGCATCTCATCATGATGCTTTTTGCATTGGATTTATTTTTCTCTCTCTAAGATGGTTTCTTTGAAGTCAAGGAAGAGGCCAGCAGTAGATGGACAAGTGTTAAGAGCCTCAGTCAACAAACAGCCAGGGCAAGGCAAGTAGACCCCAAAGGATCCTTGCCTGGTTCATTTGTAACATCGAGGCATTAGCAAAATGAGACTGAATGGGTTGCTCCTTTCACTCGCTAACAAAAGCAGACTGAAAATATTATAAGGCAAATGTTCTTCCAAAGTGACACAACAAGGTCAGGCAGTAACAAAACCTGCAGTGAAGGGGAGGTAGTCATCACCTCGACAGCTCACTGAAGTTGCCTTCCCTAAGAAGCACGACAGCCCCAGGTACCCCAGCCCCAACCCCAACCCCAGCCTGCCGCTTGCGTGCTGGGAAGGCCTGCAGGAGCCTGCAGGCAGATGCTGGAGCCCAGCCTAACCTCACCCCTCAGCCCTAGCCCAACAACGTGCGTAGGGAACGTACACCTTGAGTGGTCTCAAGGCTGGAGCCGTGCCTTGGGCAGGAGCAGCTCTGGGACGCCATGGCACACAGCTCTCCGGAGGCTATAGGGGCAGTAAAGAGGAAGAGCAAGATCCTGGACATGCATCTCGGTCTCACTTAAAAGCTCGGTGCTTATGTCTTTTCCTGTCCTCACCCTGCCTTTTCCTGCCACTTTGCTTTCTCCTCTGGCATCTTTCCTGCTCCTTTGAACATGCTCCCAGGAGAGCTCACGCTGTCACACTCACTCAGCAAGCTTTCAAACATGAGCAGGGAACAGAGGAGAGGCTTAAAGTGTCGGGGGTCAAGCAAAGCGATCAAGTTGTGCTTTTCTACTCTGGATTCCTTTGCCTTTGCCTTCCCAAAAGAGACTCGGGGGTCTCTTTGGAAACCCTCCTTGCTGCTCCTTGCTTCGCTCCAGAAACACTCTGTACTATTAAAAATAGCATGCCCTTGAAAAGTTGGCACAGTGGGTTTGTCGCACTGTTTCTAAAACAGCTCTGAAGATACCAGGAAGGTTGAAAACCAGTAACGACCCAGAGACAACTGAACTGCACCCCGAGAGGTACAACGGCCAGGATGTTGAAACTCCTGTGGCTCAGAGACCCGACCCTTCCTTGGTCCAGGGGATGCTTTTTTGAGCACACCGCAGGGGACAGACACCGCAAAGCAGGACAGAAAAATCCCAGGGGGCTGGGGCAGCTGATCCCCCATGCCCCAGCGGCTCTCCCAGCCGCACCCGCCTTCCCACGGGGGAGACCGGACAGGGCAGCACAATAGCCGTTTCCCTCTTTGCAAATACTATAACTGGAGTTACCACACCACATTTTCACAACCCACAATGAGGGCTGGATGCTCAGGAGACCTCAGTTCCTGTTTAGTCACTAAGAGAGCAGAGATTTTCAGAGGCTGGCATATTGTATGCTATATTTATCAGAAAATAGCCCTAAATATCAAATGAGGGCCATAGCTTGGCTATTGAAAAAGCCTTTAAAAATCCCAACCACCTGGCTTACCCAGATGGGAACAAAGTGATGCTGAAAACGTGGTATCTTGCTGGAGCGTGGCACCATGCAGTCGGTGCTACCCTCATGCCACTGCACTGCAGTCTAAATCCCACATCAACCCTGTCCCTCAGACACTCTCAAGCTGGTCAATAAGATGTTTCCTACTGACAGCAGTGAGCTGAAGGTGGAATTGAGGCATCATTGTGTACAGGTGGGGTTTTTTATATTTTGCACAGCGAACAAACCCATAAGTAGGGAGTAACCACATGTACAAGATGTTAGATCTCTTAACTCTCTGCAACCATTGCATCCAAGTGTCTCACAGTCTTTCAGGTATTTATCTTCACAACACTGCTTGGCAAGAGACATGGATGAAAAAAACGGAGTAACTCATCCTGGGTCGCCACCGTCAGTGATGGAGCAAGAATTGGGCAAAAGCCTTCTAGGTTTCAGCTCAACTCCCCACTCACTACGTAAGCCGTTCTCTGCCTGTCGAGGGTCAGTGGAGATGGTCAGTATTTCCTAATAGAAATCCATCCCCCAACATACAAGATGAAGGGAGGGAAGGAAAACACAAAAGAGAAAGGTTTTGCCTGGAGCTGCAGAGTGGAGGAGAGGCAGGACCATGACCTGGGACCCAGAGATTCCCATCTCCAAGATGTCCATCCCAGAGCCTGCAACACATGAGTTATTTTCAGGCACGTTTTTCTCACTCTCTGATCAGATTTGGAATCAACAAAGCATCTCCCCCTATTTCAACAGCAACCCAACAGACACTGCCAGAAGCAATATATAACCACTACTGCAATTCTTATTGATATGTCATCAGAAAACTGCATTTAAGAAGCCCTGTGACAACCGCTAGAACTAAGGAAGGGACACCCTGATCCTACAGAAACCATTTTGACCATTGGCATGCAGACAAAGACCTTTTTTAAAGTGTAGCAAAAACAGATTTCATGATGTGAGGAGTAGCTAAAAAATAATATAATTCTTAAGCTTAAAATTTCTATTAGGAACCAGCTGAAAAATAAATTCATAATAATTTTCCGATTATTTTAAAAATATTGATGATGTATTAATATAAACTTGTGAGTTTAAAGCACTTCTCCTAAGTTCAATGAGAGTTCAGACAAAATCAAAACAGGCAGAGATGCACGTCATCTCTGCTCTGTGCCACTGAACTGGAGCACAAAGCAGTCGGGCTCCTTTCTCCTTCTTCTCAATCACCGTGACTCACAGCGTGCTCCAGAAAGAGATAATATTATTCCTAGAGAGAGGCTGTATCTTCAGTGTCTGCTGAAAAGTCCTCTAACTAAATAAAAGAAACTTGAGCTGCTAATATTTATTCACAATACTGAGCTTCTTGCATGCACAGCGATACACACACACATAGACATACTCATTTCCACTGGAACAAAAGGTTTAAGCAAAATTCAGGCAAGATACACCGTGAAGAGCAATACCTCTGCAGGAGTGGTCCATCTTGTTGTATTTGAAGTATCCACTTTTGCACTGGCAGAGCGCGACTCCATCAAAGTCGGTGCATTCAGAAGTTTCCTTGTCACATTCCGGGTCTTTCTGCTTGCACAAGCTGCCAACTGTTGGGAAGAGGTGGCCAACATCAGCATGGTTCTCTCTGAACCCACCATTATGCGCATTTGCTTTCCCAGGCATCACATTCAGCTCATGTGCTGCTTTAGTATCTTTTTTTTCTTTTTTTAAATAATATTTGTTCCATTAGGACACAGCCAACATTACACTATGTCACCGTTCCTAGTGTATCTACTGTCATTTGTACAGGCAAATAGACGGGGTAAATAATAAATGTTTCAGCTCGGAGTCAGAAGGGAAAATGAAAAAGAAAAATTTGGTTTGGCTCAAGCTGAAACACTTTCACCGCCTGAGACAGTTCAACAAATCAATTTTTAAGTTTATATCAAGCAAAACATTTTGCTCAGTCCAAAACAATTTTTTTCCATTTCAATATTAAGAGCTGGATTTTTTCATTTTTCAAACAAAGAATTTGTCCTTTCATTTACATTACTTTGAAGCAGTGTTTTACTTTAGAAAGTCAGATTTGTTACAATGAGCATTCAGCAAAAATGTGGGTAAACGATGGAAATTCTGTCACCGAATTTTTTACTGGGAGGTCAGAAAAATGAGTAAATGAAAAAATATTCACGAGAAATAGGATTTTATTGAAAACATGTCATTCATTTGGCACTCACCTTTTATAAACCTCTCCCTGCTAGAGTCGTCTTTTTTTTTTATCTGACATCTTTTCTTTTAGTACTTACACAAGAACATAATTTGTTTCTTATTCTGATTATTTCAAGTTAGAAGTAGACTTTACCAGAAGCATTGTATCAGAGGTAATGACTAGATATCATCTGAGCAGGTCTACCAAAGTAATTTAATTCAATCCATGGTGGAGTGTGGCTTTAAAATACAGCACGTTAAAATAAAAGCACACACTAAATATCTCATCTTCGTGTTTACGTTGCCAAAATGATCCGAGGGGTTTCCCACTACAGCCAGGCTAAGCACTGCTGCCCTTCAACCTCAAAGCCAAACCTCAAAGCCTCAAACCCTGAAGTCACAGAGCTCCACATGCAGAAGTTTAAGGTTGGAAAAGAACTTTAAGATCATCAAGTCCAATCATCAACCCAACACCACCATGCCCACTAGACCATATCCTGAAGTGTCACGTCTACACGTTTTTCGAACACTTCCAGTGATGGTGACTCCACCACCTCCTTGCAGGAGCCCATCTTTCAAGGGTTCTCACTCCCTGCATCCTGCTGGTACCTCTCATATGGTACCTCTCATAGCTAAATCTCCTCTATCGCTCCCTCGGAAAGCGATGACTGGGAGGTGCAGGGCGCAGGGCCACCACCACTGATGGGGTTCACCTGGAGAAGGTCCTGCACAACACTGATGTGCTTCTCCAGGTCTCTCTGTGCTGCACCCATGTTCCCCTTTGGCAGGTAGAAGATTTGGTACCAAAATTGAAAGCTCTTAACTGTGAATCATTTTTACACCCTGCAACACTGAAATTGGGCAGGCAGGATAGTGCAGCTCCCCCCATAGCCTCGGGCAGCTCTAATCAGCTTCAGTTGAGGGTTTTGTCTCTTGGCTTTCATGCTGTTTCCCTGGCTCCCGGCTGCACGGGTGGAATTAAGACTTATGTTTTTTTGATCTGGCCAGGGCCCGGTGTCACATCCCGGAGATGAAAGGCTGCCCTACAATGCCTCTAATCCTGCGCTGCACGATGTTTTCACAGAGGCAGATTTCTTACACATGTGGTGAAGATAAAGCTTGATATCTGCATCCCTTTTGTACTGGGAGGCTCTTAAGATGACTCCCATTTAAATAAGATAAAAAAGATTCAGAGGGGTTTTTCTAAACCCCAAAATCTTTCTCCCCTCTTATAAAAGAAGCCAAATAAAACATCCCTTTCCCTTCCCATCACAGTCCCTCCAGATGCTGTTTACCTCTGTGGAGCATTTTCAGGCCGGAGATGAACTGGCAGGCTTCGGTGGGGGATTTGCAAGCTCGAATGTAGCTTTTCACGCTGCTGACAACGTCATAGAAAGTCACGTTGGATGCTAAAGAGAACGTGGATTGCACTGAAACATGCACAAAATTTGCCTCCCTAACAGAAAACAGAACAAAACAGCCCTCAGTACCACGGGTCAGTCTGATGTCATCGTTAGCACCTTATACATAGGACTCTTATTAATGCACATTATACAGAGGACTCTTATCAATGCAAGCGATGCTTATCACAGACACAGTATTGCATACATACTGAAACAGCCGGCCAGTATAACGGACCTTAAAAACAGGATGAACTTACACACAGAGAGGTAAATTTGGGGCTGGAAGGGGTACTGGTAGCTCACTTTGAAACCAGCCTTAAATCCCTTCTGGGCAGTTCACAATCCCGTCCCCAAGCCGCTCGGGCCAGGAAAAGGGAACCGGGAGAGCCGAGCAAGGTGGTCAGGCATTCCCCATGCCCTGCGCCACTGCCGGGCCAGACCGCATCAAGCCCAGCACCGACTCAAGAAAGAGAACGTGGATCTCAAGTTGAACATCCTGAACGCTTGAGAGTCTCATTCTTCCCCTGGTAGCCTTAGCCTTACCTGGTCGCCTTAACTGTGGAGTGGTGGTACCCCGGCAAGCCCGACAGCGACGCATCGAGCTGCAGGGAAGGAGAGAATAGCTGTTAGTGGCCTGGGGGATGATGGAGGGAGGCAGCCCGGCAGGGCACGGCATGGGACAGCCCTCCTGGGTCACCAACACCATCCCCTGAGCTCGCCAGAGCTGCCTTCTGAGGCTGAGTGGGCTCTGAGCATCCCAAGCAGTTCATCTGCTCAGTAAGGAAGACGTGCCGTCCTGTTGCCAGCGAGGGATGGCTGAAGTCACTGCCGCGCAGCCTTGGACAGAAACGAAGACCTGGGGATTTTGACGGAGCATCTGCCGGCGGCCCCACTGTGCAATGACCACAAAGGCCAAGGCCAAGCCCGAAGCCAGCGGGGAGAGAGCCCTGTGCAAGGCCGAGCTCAAAGCGGCGCTCTCCGAGACGCGCATCTTCCAAGAAGCCTCCCTCCCCCCGGATCCGCACGGTTGGCTGTGCCCACCCCCCAGCACAAGCTGTGCAGGCAGCACCCAGGCAGCGCACCCCGGCTCCCCGCTCCTGCGCAGCACCTCCAAATCACCTACTCCAAAAAGAGCTGGGATGAACTGCAGCCAGCCCAGGAACTGCGAACAGGACAAACTCACGCGTGCAACGATCTGGCTAAAAAACGCAGAGAGATGTACGTATTCCCAGCCCAGGGATCTTTTTGGAGCAACTGATGGCACAGCATACGGGGAAGCCACCAGCACTTGCTCTCAGCTGACTGAGGGCCACATGGCTGCGACAGCTGGGAAACTCCACCAAGAGGCAGGTATGTTTGGGGGGTGCTGCCGATGCGCTTCATGCCGTGGGGTTTGGCGAAGAGCAAGGTGGCACCAGCTGCAGTCCAACCCGCCCCAGCACCTGCGAGATTTACTGATGAACGACGAAGCCCGGGGTTACTGTTTTAATGTTTGGCCTTGGAGGAGCATTAATGCCCTTTCGAGGTCTGGAAAAGGCAATGCAGCCAGAAGACAGTAGCAAAGGACGGAGGCTACAGAAGCATGAACCCAGCCACATCACTTCACAAAAAGGGCTTCGGGATCTTCTGGGCGGGTATGGTGTCTTAAGCCCCATAGGAGCCGGATCTCTCCGCTGCTGTCTTGACAGCCGGGGCAGGGCAGGGGAAAGAAGCGTGCTGGGATTCAAAAGTGTACGTCCCACCAGTCCTACTTACACCATGGTTCCATGACTAAAAAGGCTAAATCCATGCTACAGAGTCTCATGGCTTCCCATGACAACCGTAAGAGGAGCGAAGGGGACCCGTCCCATCAGCATTGCCGACGTCCCAGCAATGACACTCACCATCGCCAGGATTTCACCCTCGACGTGGAGGAGCTCTGCGTACTTCCCATGGGTAATATTAAGTTTCAGGGGGACTTGGCCGATAAATATTCTTACTAAAAAGGAGAGTAAGACAAGTTAGTCAGAACACATGTCTCTGTTCCATGTGTAGCCGTGGTTTCATCTGCCTTAGATGAGGGACGGTCTGCCTGGAAAACCCCTTCACGCAGCAGACAGAAAACTCAGTCTGAGAGTCACTGCCCCAATAAAGCAAAGTCCCTGCCTTGGGATTTTTCCCAAGGGTTGCTGCGATGTTCCCACAGCCCCAGTCAAATTCCAGAGCTCAGTGCTGCTGAACAGCCACCATTTCACCACAGCGTTCATACATTTCATATAGAAACACAGACTAATTTAACAGGACCCCTGAACACAAAGAGAGCTGGGTAAATTTAGCAACAAGGCAGTTTCAGGTACCAAAGCTATTTATAATAACTTGGGGTAAATGTGTCAAATCTCTTACACCTCCCTGCAAGGGAAGGAAAGCAAATCAGCAAGTCAAAATAAAGCACTGCAGAAAGGACATTTTCATTTTTCAAATTGTTGGACAGAATGAGCAATGATATTTGAAAAGAGGTCCAAAAGATGCATTTTTCCATGCTTAGATTCATATTTGATTCATGGCAGCAGAATGCAATAATCCAAGTTGTCCAGACTCGGAGAGATAATATCCCTAAATCTTGTATTAAGTGTCATGAGATACTCGGTGGAAATGAGAACTCAGAGCTCCAGTTTTATGTTGCACCAGAAAAACAAATATGGTTGCAGATAACGTTATAAAGCCTCCAATTCTTTCCCATTTTTTTCCCATCCACAGACCCTATTTTCATGACAAATTTTATATCAGACAGCTCTAATGTAACAACTACGGGTAAAAATGAGAATCACCTTCACAGTATTTATACAATCTGCCCATATCCCAGTTCAAGGCATAATCAAAACAACGCTCTAAATTAGAAGCTGACACATTCCAGCTTGAAGAAATGTTTCAAAACACCCTTCAGGGACACCTCACCCATGTTTCCTTAGCAAAATTTCCATGCTTCTAATCCTCGCTGAGTAAGGGTCAGAAGAAACTCTAGCAAAACAAATTCCCCCTTACAATGGGACATTGTAAGTCCTTGAGATTGAGAGTCCTCTACCAGAAAGGAGGGGGTCAGAACCTGAGTTCCAACTAATAGCTGTGCTGCATGAAAAATGCTAACGGTACGAAACAAGACCTTGATCCTACAAAGACCTTCACGGCTGCTTAATTTTCCGCACATGGCTGGTCTCACTGAAGCCAGGTTACACAATAGCCCCACTCACTTCTCCCAAGCCGGGCACCGTCGCCCGGATTTGCAGAGCTGGGAGCTACCACAGGCTGCTGCACGTTTTTTGGGGGTTGTAAAACACATTAGGAACAGAAAGGCCACAGCTGTCCTTCCTAACAAGCCTGAGCCCACTGCTCTGTTGCTGTGTTTTTAAGAAACGCTCAGCTATCGCTGCGCCTGCTCCCCGGGGCACCCCAGCACGACAGGCATTAGGCACTGCACTTGTATAAACAGTAAAGGCTCTGGTTAAATGTGGTGGCTGGGAGGAACATTAAGCTCCCGCACTAGTCTGAGCCTAGGTTAATTTATTTTAGAAGATTACAGATAATTATTTCCACCTTTTTCTCCCCTGGTTTTTCGCTTTTGTTTTCTTACCTAAATTGCACTTTCCTTTTTCCAGCTCATATCCAAGAGGACACTGACAGATATAGGAGCCACGGGTGTTGTTGCAGGTGGCCAGTGCAGGACAAGGGTTGGAAAGACATTTATCCACATCTACAAAAGCAGAAAAAAAACCCAGGCTATAGTTACAGAATCACAAAAATCATCAGCTGTTGGGCTAAAAAGGATCAACTTGGCTCCTCTTCTGTGACCCCCTGAGATGCTTCATTGCATCATTCACACTTACTACTTATCTTGCTTTTAATTATTCTGTTGGAGCTGAAAGAATAAATACAAACCACTTGCTCTCAGATATTCATTCAAAAGCCCTTGGGGTCCAGTGTTGATCTATGCTAATACGAACACCCAGCTTGCCTACAGCACGGCTCATCTGCAGATCTCGGGGCACTTCTCAAAGACAAACACCACCACAGTTACGGATGGCGAGACAGAAGAAGGGATCTCAACAGCCAGAGCTAGACACCTTCACCAGAGTCCTGCCCTGTTCATCCAAGCCCTGTTTCCATGGTCCAAAGCTAGTGCTGGAACACTGATGCCGTCTGCAGATTACCCAGAAATAGCGGAGGCAGCCCTGGCTGCCGTCACCTCCTTTGCCAGGGCTGCAGCCTCCTCCGTGCCAGGCTGGGGATGGCCACAGCAGCGGTACCTGCCTGTGCCACGGCTTGTAATGGAGCTCCCACTGCGTGAGCAAGGGCCTGGGGAGCAGACGCCAGCTGTGAAATACGGAGTATCAGGGATTAACGGCTGTAGTCCAGATGCCTCATAGATTAGCCAACTCAAACTGTAAATCCTGGAGAAGATATACAATACTTGTATATCTTGAAAAAAAACATGTCCTGGTCAGAAATTCTCCTCTTGCTGTGCGTATGACTCATGCACGCACAAATGCACGTCACACACGTGTGCAAGGGCAGACTGTAGGCAGGACTGTGGGCTTCTCGGTGACGCGGCGCTACATGACGAGCAAGACACCTTACACACCGCTTGTACCTATTTTGCGGCTGCTGCCGAGCACTGCAGCAGAGGCAGGAAGGATGGGCTTTGCGGTTAAATCGTAAAGCACGAGAGCCAAACCTGTGCGTGTGTTTCTGACAGCACCACGCTACCCCGTGACATCACGCAGGCCCTGCAGACCAGACAGTCCTGAGCCGACCTCTGCATCAGGACGCGCCATTTGACGCAATCCCCGTGTCTCGACTGGCCTGGCACGGCTGCCTCAGCGTCAGCAAGAAGGAGATTTGGTATCTCTGATCTAAGCAGCCAGAAGTGAGTGGGCGTATTTTAAAATGTCGGCTTTCACTTCGCCGTGCTTCTGTTTGCGCGTTGTACGGTGGGGACCAGGGCAGCTTCTTCTCTGGCAGCAGTGAGTACCCACGTACAAAGCACCACATCCCAGGCAGCAGAAGGATCTTTTGCCTTCTGGTAAATGGCAAAACTCAGTATTTAAAAGAAGAAGTAACTTGGCAACAGTGTGAATCCATTGTGAAAAGGATAGGTCACGTTAATTTTTCAATAAAAATATCCATTCCCCTACAGTGAATTTTTTTGCATGAAGCCATAGCTATAATTAAAAGCATTCAGCCTGAGAAATAACCTTTAAATACTTAATTATTGGATGGAATATATACTATTGCCAGTATTTCACTGAGATTAATGCAGTTAGCACACACAATATCCTACAGTGGCATGAGGGCCAGGCTCCTGGGCTTTAAACACACAATTAATTTCTATTCATACAAAACTTCAGTCAAGGTATTTACTTCAGAAGATAAGGAGCCTGGCAGCAGTAATAAATTATTGTAACAACACACTCAGCAAGACTATGGTACGTAGCCTACCAGGAGAAGAAACAGGCCCTTGAGTAAGAGATAATTTAGTGAGGTGGGGAGAAAACGACCATAGGTCGTAACAACAGAAGAAGTTCCAACACAAATACCAAGTGCTGGCCAACCACCTTTTCTCATGAATAAGTTAGATCTTGATCGATATCAACCAATAGTGTTGACCAATCGACAAATATAAAATGCATCCTATGCTTACCTGGAAGGCCAGTCAGCTTTATTTTCTTAAAATTCTCAAATTTCAGCTTAACGTTTCCATCAGAAACGTTCACCAAGATGCTCACCCTTCCCCAGCAGTTCAGCTTGATTGCTAAACCCTTAGCTTAAAAATACCAACGTAGAGACCGCGTTCTTATCCTCAAACGCTGCTGACAACAGACTTGTCATACACACGTACATACATAACCCTTCAAAGACCCTTAAAGGTATTCCTGGCCCCCTCATCCCTGGCCCCACCAATTAGACACGTTACCTGTTGCCGGAGACGACATCCTCAGCCCAGCCGTGCTAGTCAATGGAGGAACGGTAGTTGGTTTGGTAGCAGCCAAAGTAGTTGCGATGCTTACAGTGGTCTTGCTGGTTGGAGGGGCTTCAGAAGGACTCGTAACAGGGACGTTTTCTTCAGTGACTTTACCAGGCCTTGCAGTGGTGGGATCCACAGCTTCTGTGCTTTCACCAGTGGTATACACATGCTTAGTGGTAGTGGGCATTTGAGCTCTGTGGGCTTTCGTGGTGCTAGCATCACCTGGGGTTGGCTGGCGACTGGCCGGTACTGTCAGAACAGGAGGTTTTACCGTGGTCAGTGCCATCGCAGGGACGAGAACGCTGTGGTTTGTTGCACTTGGCGAGGGACTAAGGGGTGCATCTGTTGGCCCAGCCCGTGGGGCATCACTGGCCGTGGTGAGCAGCGGTGTTGCCTTCCCAAAGCTGTTCCCCTGGGCGGTGGTGGCTTTTGGTGAAGCGGTCTCCATTACCATCGTGGGAGTTGACACAGACATGATGCGTCCACCAAGCTGCTCCATGGGTGCCGTAGGGAGAGGAGACCCAGTAGAGGTGAAGGTGGTGCTATTTTGGGGCTGGTGTGTGACATTGTGCTTGTTGGTCCCTCTGGGCGAGCTCCCAGCCACGGCAGCTGTGGAGGGCACCCGCCTGACCACAGTCGTAGCTACAGGGGTGCTTGCTTGATCACTATCATTGGACTGCGAGACGGATGATGGTGATGAAAAAAGAGGCAATAAAGATGCTAATGAATAAGATGGGGAAAGCAATGAGGAAGTGGGCAAGGAGGACGACAAAGCCTGCAGAGGGGGTGAAGATGCCATCACAGAGGACAAGAGTGGCTCAGATGATTCTGATGATGTAAACACATAAGTTGTTGGTGGTGTTGATGACAGCAAGTGATGAAGCGATGACAGTGAGGAAGAGGCTGGAAATGCTGACGAAGATATAGATGATCTGCCAGTGGTCAACAACTCAGAGTCAGTGTTGAAGAGAGTTGTATTTTGTACGCTGCTTGCAGAAGCAGAAGTCAACAGTTTGGAAGAGTGTACCAGCAATGGCTCTGTAGATGGTTCAACAAAACCACTGTCACTGGATACATTGCTCCTCCTGTCCTGTGCCACAGAAGATTTTGATGAATCAGAAGGGTTGGAAATTTCAGAGAAAAAGGTGGAACTTTCTGAGGAGTCAGCAGAGGTGCTGCTATTTGAGATAGACAGGAGGGTCCTTTCTCCTCCTCTGGTATATGTGGTTGAAATGTATGTGCCGTCTGTATGAGAAACCGAGGTCCTTTTCTCAGCATCGATGCTACTGACTGGCTGATGGCTACTTGAAAATCCTGTAGTAGAAGGACAAAATATATTAGAAAGACAGAGTAATATGAAAGTATTTTGATGTCATATTAAAATCACTTGCTAAATACATAAAATTTTCTTGTCTGTGAATTGGCCTGTGCTCTTCTAAAAATTTAGAGTACCATCCAAGCATGGGTATCGAATTAGGAGTCTTCTGTGCTCCTTAATTGATGCTAAAATGGTGAACTTGGACAGAGACAAGGCTCCCGTGAAAGGTGTAGGTTTCTAAAACACTGTTCTTCCAGCATTGCTTTTCTAATGTGATTGAGCACTTATTGTTCTGTGATATTTTGTGACAAGCCAAGCAGGAAAACCCATCTGTTCTCTTTATCAGTCATAATTTCTAGAACTCTCCCTCTTATCCTCCATTCCCAAGTAAAGAATATCCATCTTCTTCAGTTGATTTGTTTTTAGACACAGTGAACTTCATACCTCTGCAGGGCAAAATTATTACATTATATTAATTTGCAGCTTATCGTGAACTCATTGACTGAAAACTTTGGAGCCAGGAAATCCTAAATGACTAGCACATCAGTCTGCAAAAAATTCAGATCATTTAGCATAAAAGGTGCAGTCAATCTTATAATATGAATTTCAGAATGTACAACTAAGTCCAGCAATCTCAAAAAATAAAAAATAAGGTATTGAATATTTGATTTAATGCTACAGTTGACTTAGGTCATCATGAAACATTTCTGAAAGCATCACCCAAGAGAAACCAATTAGGATGCAAAAAAATAATGTGGCCATTAAAACAGGAGAGTTTCCCTGCTCAGGTCCATGGCTTCACTTCCAGAACGATTCCCCAACTAGGCAGGGTCTGGCTTTCAGCCATTGGATGAAAACACCCCCCTGAGTGAACCCGTAGGTGGCATTGCGCATACTAATGAATGAGAACTTTGCATACAACAAAGATAAATGCAGGACAGTGTGAACTTCTCTCCCCCACCCCCAAATGTACTCTGGGAGACACTAACTTACTTGTGAGATCGTTTTGGAAAGAAGAGTAAGTGGGTATCTTGGAAGAACGTGTGAAGAGTGTTTCCGTCGCAAAGTCCATGAAGTCCCCGCTGCTGGTGGAGGTGTTGGCCGTCCTGCTCTGCTCCACCGACACCGTCTGAGCTGGCCCTGGAGAGCTGGCGGTTTCGGCGTAAGAAGCAGAGCTCTCTGTGCCACCGGCCAGCGCGCTGTCCGTCACCGAGTGCGGCGTCCTCTCTCCAGCGCCAGCAGATGTGGATGAGCTGTACACAGGATCAGTGATGGGTCTGGACATCCTTTCCTCAGCACTTGAGCTGCTTAGGGAGTGATGGCTGCTGCCCACGGCTAGAAGAGGATTGAAAAGCAGATATCTGATTTTATCATCTCAGAGCAGAGAGCACTTGTGAGTTCTACAATAATTCTGTTTGGAAATGCAGATTGTTAAAATTGAACAGATAAACACAGATTAAGTACAGATTAAGTAGACATCATATATCTATCCCCTTAAATGTGATTTAACACACAAAGCCTATTCCAAAGAAACAGGACTATCCAAATACAGAGGGACAATTGGTACCATTAGAGTCATAATGGCATATTTATGTTATTTACAATTATCACCCCACCCAGGCAGGTAGTAGGTGTGTCACAGAGCAAGAAGTTACACGTCTCATTCCTGAGACTTCTTTTGTTTAAGCATTAACAGCTGCAGATATACAACATGAAGGAGCAGAATCGCCACCGCTTATAAATCCTGCCCACAACACCCACAACAGTTCCGACATATGTTGGTGGTCATATCAAACCCATGGAAGAGGGGAAGGGAGAAGCAGTGGGTTTTTTCCTACTTCAAACACCACCCCAGAGTTCAGAAAAACTCACTGGAAAGTTCACCGGCAGTTGAGAAGTAGGTGGGGATCCTGGATGAAAGGGTGACCTTGGGCTCTGGGTACCCTGCTCGGCCAGACAAGGCATGTCCCACTCCAGACCATGCTGTGGAGGATGGGAGGGGACCGGTGCGGGGCTCCCCAGTGTCTGGGTGAGACATGGGGCTTTCTGCCACTGTACTCCACACGCCATGGTTAGCTGCAGCCTGAGATGTCCCCTCCTTGTGGCTGGAGAGTGTGGTCGAGACATACGTGGTCTCAGTAGGAGCACCAGAAACTCCTTTTCCTCTCTCTGGAATTGCAAAGCAGAGATAGATATAGGTAAATATATATTTTATCTATTAATAATAACTTTGATGCCTCTACAGGGACTAAAATCAGAATATTTCAGTCCTCACAGCGGAGGTGGCACTTGGTGACCAACATCACTTATTTGCTAAGTGGTGTTCCCAGGGGATCTGTACTTTTCCCCTTTACACCAGAATAAAACAGATTGCGGTGCGCGGTGTTTCTGAAGGGGAATGGTGGCAGGGAGGTAGGATCTGGTCTTGAGCATCCTGCAGAAAATTCCCTTGGGCAGACCAGTGGGTTTCAAACCAGCTCTGGGGGGACGCTGGCAGCAGAGCTGAGGCTGAAACACACGGCAACTGGGATATAAGGAACAGTAAAAGGTCTAGCGATCCCTTGCCACATCTCGTGCCAGGCTCCCCTGGTTCGAGGGCTGAGGTCAAGGCCCCGTGGCAGCCTTCGCATGTGGCCCAGAGGAGCTGCCTGGCTGTCTAGTTCCCAACACACGAAGCGCTGCCCCAAGTGCCGTGAGGAGAACAGCTCACCGCCCGTGCAGCGCTCAGTCGCCCTTCGCTACAAACCGCTTACTCAAAAGGCAAATCTAGTTTAAAGCTGGAAAAGGGGGGGTGGGAGCTTGGAGGGGGGGCCGGGAAGGAGGAGAGCTGTCTTCCACAGCGAACTAGGAAACCACAAGACCCACCTGAAGCACTTGGTGAAGGCGAAGGCACTGAACTGCTGGGAGAAAACGCAGGCAGCAGCTTCGTTGGAAGCTCACCACGTCCAGCACCGTGCTGCGGAACATCGCTCTGCCTCCCGGGCTCTGCTGCTGATGGGGACGGCAGAAGGACCACGGCCGAGGAGCTGGTGCGGGCTGGAGCAGGAGCGGAGCTCGCGGCCGCGCCGGACGCTGCGTGGGTGTCTGGCAGGGGCACGGTGCTCCTCTCCCCAGCACTGGTGGCTATCACTGAGCTGGG